CATTTTTAGACACGATCTCTCATACTCTTACATTTTTACACATATATTTCATCTCTCAAGATCTGACTTGAGCGTTGGAGGCTCTTCACCGGAAAACACCTTCGGTGTGAGAGTTTCGTGCAGGTTCCGCGTTCAACCGGCGAGGAGAACGAGCTTGAGGCGGTTTTTAGTCGGTCAGGGTGCGAGACCTGTATTAGGCGGATATATGCGAAATTTTTTCGCATATAGTAAATTATGCGATTGACTTGGATATGCAATTACCAGGAAATGTGAATTCAACAAATTATGCTAATTATAAGCGAAATATTTTCGCATAGTCATAAATTTGCAAGGTCGATATAGCCCTGCGAAAAGAAGGCGCATGATCATCGTAAATTATGATGCATTCGATTTGTATATGCGATTCTTAAAAATGCGAAAGATGTTTGCATATTTGTAAATTATGCGTTTGATGTGGATATGCGATTAAAAAAATGCAAAATGTTTCGCATAGTCATAAATCATACGGCCGGTTGGATATGCGCTGGTTCATTTGGACATGCGAGTGTAATATCGCATAATAGTTCGTAAATTTTGGGATGTTAAAGAAGTTATTTGACGGGGTAGTGTGTAAAAGAAAGAATAGATAAATAATGTGGTGAAAAAGATTTTCACCCTTATACATATATATACCTACAGTATAACATAAATTTTATTCAAAGGAAGCATTCTCTCGCTTGGGAGCGACCGATATTCTCTCGCCGGAGAGCGTTTTGCAGTTTGGTCCGGGATTGCTTCAATTCCTTCTTCTCTCGTTCCTTCTTCATTAGCCTATCATCTTCTTTGTCAGCTTTAGAGTGTTCGATTCCACTGCTTCTGCTCTAGTGGAAATTAGGGTTTCTGATGGCATCTGGTTCCTGCACAGGGCAAGACGACGAACTCTCCCAACGCCTTGAAGGTTTCTCTCTGTCGGAAAAAGAGCATAACTACATCGATTTGGGTCAAGTCGACATCAAACTCAGCAATGGAGAATGTAAGCGTAGTTTATTTGGCAAAATCATCGGTGACAGAAAAGCTTCATGGATCGGAGTTCAGAGGGCGATGAATTACATATGGAAACTCCGTGAGCCTATGGAAGTTCGAGAATTAGGCCACAACTTCTTCCAATTCATTTTCCAAAACAAAGAAGATCTGGAGAAAGTGAATAAAGTCATCAACTGGACTTTTGAAAATCAATACCTCATCCTCTCAGAATGGAAAACAGGGCTATCGATGAACCACCCCATATTTCAAGAGTTGCAGCTCTGGGTCCAGGTTTTTAATGTACCCCTTAACTGGCTTAGTACTGATGTGGGCATGAAAATAGGTAGGGTGTTCAAACAAGTTAAGAATGTTGTGATTGTGGGAGCAGGAAGTCACGGAGGAAGAATTATGCGTCTTCTTGCGGCCGTGAATTTGAATGAACCTCTTCCCAGATGTGCTAAGCTCAGACTGGACGACCAAGAAGCTACTGTAAGCTTTAAATATGAAAAACTAGTAAACCACTGTCATTATTGTGGTTGGATTGGTCACTTGGATAGAGAG